GTAGTAGTAGTAGTAGTAGTGGTAGTAGTAGTAGTAGTAGTAGTAGTCGTAGTAGTAGTAGTAGCAGTCGTAGTAGTAGTAGTAATTAGTAGTAGTAGTAGTAGTAGTAGTAGTAGTAGTAGTAGTAGTAGTAGTGTAGTAGTAGTAGTAGTAGTAGTAGTAGTAGTAGTAGTAGTAGTAGTAGTAGTAGTAGTAGTAGTAGTAGTAGTAGTAGTAGTAGTAGTAGTAGTAGTAGTAGTAGTAGTAGTAGTAGTAGTAGTAGTAGTAGTAGTAGTAGTAGTAGTAGTAGTAGTAGTAGTAGTAGTAGTAGTAGTAGTAGTAGTAGTAGTAGTAGTAGTAGTAGTAGTAGTAGTAGTAGTAGTAGAAGTAGTAGTAGTAGAAGAAGACGAATAATACGTAGAAGTGGAAGTATAAGTATAAGTAGATGAGGAGTAGTCGTAGTAGTAGTAGTAGTAGTAGTAGTAGTAGTAGTAGTAGCAGCAGCAGCAGCAGTAGTAGTAGTAGTAGTAGTAGTAGTAGTAGTAGTAGTAGTAGTAGTTGTAGTATTAGTATTATTATTAGTAGTAGTAGTAGTAGTAGTAGTAGTAGTAGTAGTAGTAGTAGTAGTAGTAGTAGTAGTAGTAGTAGTAGGGTGGAGAAAACGAAAAAGGCAGGAGGGAAGAAACTCGAGGGGAAGAGGACACATTGACAGATGAAGCGGGGGAGAGTGTGAGAGAGATTGGCTGAGAGGATGCAAGTCTGTCTCCATTTCCCGTTTTGTCTGCTTCCTGGACGAAATCGTGAGGTGAGGACAATGGAGGGAATCAGGAGCGTCGCGGTGGCACTTAGGAGCGATATTAAAGAACACAGAGCAACGTACATTGAGAGGAAGACCTCGTGATGGCCTCCTCAGGCGTCTTGGGCCCTTCTGAGGGCCTCTCGGGGGCCCGCCTACAGGGTTTCTGGGCCCTCCTGGGGCACTTTTGGGCCCCTCGAGCCGTTCTTGGCCCTGTTAAGGTTCCCTTGGGGAACTTTTGTATCGCCTTGGGCCTTTTTTTGAGGTCCTCGTAGGGGCCCTCGGGCCTCGTGGAGTCAGCTTGGGGTAGTTTTTGGGGTTATTGTTGTGCTCTCCAGGGGGGGCCTCCTGGGTCCCTGCGTCAACTTCCTGCGGGTCTTCGGACCCCTCAGAATGTGTACTGAAGACGTGACGGTATGAAAAACGTGAGAGGACGCCTAAGGCAGAAGTTTTCTTTCACGCATTTTCAACTCTCTCGGGTGCAGCTTAGAAACCATGTTGGAGGGTTGATGAGGCCCTCTTGGGTCTTATCTTAGGGCCATCGTGGGACCACGCTCGCTCCATGGTGCTCTCCAGGAAGCTTGGCGCGTCCTGGAGCCCTCTTTGAGGACTCCTCGTCGATCCCAGATGTACACTCGCGTGCCGCATTGCGGCGGCGCGCCATGGGGGCCTGCGGCGGGGCTCCGGAGAAAGCTCGTCGGCGGTTCAAAGATGGGGCCCTGAGGGATGGGGGTCCTCACAACGAGGTGCCTCAACCAACGCAATTCCGCCCTCGGATCCCTTCCCAGACATGCGACGTCCTGATTTTTGCAGGACGGCGTCCTTGGAAGTCCCGACCCTTTCCCCGGGACCGGTTTTTCGTCCTGAGTCGTTTTTTGACGGTCCCGAGGCCCGGCGAGGGCCCCCCAGGGCCGAAAATAACGAAAAGCCTCCCGTCCTGTTTTTTTAACGACGCCATCATGTCTGGGTTCCTATCCTCAGGACCCCGTCCCTCAGGGCCCATCTTCGAGCCACCGAGCTCAGGAAATTTCCTTCAGAAGGCTGGATGCCTTCTTGAGCCTCCCGAGGAGGCCCGCCCTCTCTGCCTTCTTCCCCGGGCGCGCCGCCGACACCCAGGCCTCGTTTCCTCAGCCACGCCAGCCAGGGCCCGTTTCGATTCCTCCGATTCGATTCGATTCGACTTCGATCGATTCCGATTCAGGTTCGATTCGACTTGGGATTCCGATTTGGGTTCTGATTTCTTATTGGAGGCATACTAGCCTGCCAATTTCCGCCGATTCGTCTTTTTCCGACTCGGCTGTAGATTTCCGCCGATCCGATTCATTTCGATCGCCGATCCGACTTACCGTTTTGATTCTGGGCCCTCCTGCCACCAGCCCAGCCCCAGGTGGGGAAATGTCCCGCGAGTCCTGGGCGGAGCAGGATATATTACCCCCTAGGGGGGAAATCCGGCAAATGGGGCCAGTGCCATGCCAGGGGGGATGGGGGTCAGCTGGACGGTACTCATCATTGACTACCGTAGGTTGGTGTTGTGCCGACGCAGCCGCGACCCCGACGCGGGCGTTCAAGGTTCAATGCCGCCAACGGCCCAGAATTGCCAATGTGGAGCGATCTGGCGATCGGAAAGCGGTCGATTGTTCAAGTTTGGACGATTCACGTTGTGTCAGAAACCAACGCCAGTGTCGCCACAACACGAACCTGCGGTACGGTAGGTTCGCGTCGTGTCGACCGGCGGCGACCCCGCCGCCAACGTTCGAAGTTGAATGCCGCTGGCGACCGAGAATCGGCCAATGTTGAGCGATCAGACGTTTCGGAACTGGCCGATCGTTCAATGCCGAACGATCCACGCTGTGCCAGGCCGGGGCCGTCACGACACGAACCTGTGGTATACGATCGGCGCGTCGCCGAGAGTGGGCCCTCCTTGGATCTAGGCCTCCTAGATGGGGTCCGAGTGGATGGGGTCGGAGGATCGCGCCGCATCGCCGATGCATCGGCGATGCGGCTCGATGTGGAGCGCGATTTTCTGCACGCCGATGGCGCCGATGCGTCGCCGACGTCGCCGATGCATCGCCGATGCGGCGCGATCCTCCAACCCCAGCTACTCGGACCCCATCTAGGAGGCCTCTGCTGGATCCATCGGCCCGAGGCGTCCGACGCGAGGCGGCGGGCGGTCTGCGGCCTCCCGCCTCACCTCTAGACCCCTGGGGAGACTGCACGGGACCCGATCCACCAGGTCGGGGGACACGAAGCAGGAGTCGAGAGGGGAGGGGGCGGGGTATCCAGAACCGGCGACTTGGACCACCTCCGCCCCCCGTGGGAGCCCCCCCAGGGGGAGCACCAAACGGGAGTCCATCCGCCAGGTCTCGAGGAAGCGCAAACATGGATCAAGGCGCGTGGATTGGCGACGCGTCCTGATTCCGCGCGCTCCACTGCCAGATCGGGCGGCTCTGGCGCCTTTTTTCGGGGGTAATCTTCCCCAGTTCGTGGATCTGGTACCCGTGCGCCAAGTCCGCGAATCCCCAGTCTTTGTTGGCATGCACCTGAACCTGGTCATGGGAGAAGCGAAATATTCTGGAGTCCGGTTTGTATCCAGAAGTAGTGACCTAGATCGCTGACGCTGGACTTAGACCGCTGACGCTGGTCGCGAAACAAGCGCAGCAGAAGGGACACCTGGTAACCCTGCCCACCAGAATCGGCGGCGCAAGGTCACCAGATCCTTCCAATATCCGCCAGAGCCACCTCAATGCAAGCGCTCATTCAGGAAGGTGCAAAATGACACCTTCAGTGCAATATCCGTTTCTAGGAGAAACCAGCACGCATGTTGACTGTGAGTACATGAAGAGATTGCACAACACAGCCGCAGTGCGAGGTTTAGATGTATCACGCGCACATGTTGGCGGGTGAAAGCGCAGCATCAGGACCAAGAGGTGTTTCTGTTGACGACATGGTTGCTGCAAACTGGTGGTCATGCAATGCCTTGTGGATGATGACGTCCACAATCCCAGCGTGGTTATGCAGCATGATGAAGCGTCAGAGCCGAGACTTCACCAGACGCGGTGTTCAGCATTAGGCAGCTTGCATGTTCTCCCACATGCGATAGGAGTGGTGCCAGTAGTGTCTGAGGTACGGGGAGTCGGAAGAGGGAGGCGTGAACGAGGATGAGCATGATGAGGGTCAGGATGGCCACTTCAAGGAAAATGATAGGGAGGAAGACGAGGCGCTCGAGGGGGGGGAGCAGCACATGCAGGAGCAGCAGCAGGAGGGAGACCACAGGCATCGTCACGCCGCGGGAGCAGACAGTCGACAGGAACATAGAGGCGGTCGGCCAGAAGGCTGTCCTCGCAACGCCCTGTTTCGGCACTCGCCCGGTCGGGTCTGGCCAGCGCGACCGCACTGTCCCCCTCCTCCTCCTCCTCCTCCTCCTCCTCCTCCTCCTCCTCCTCCTCCTTCCCGCCGCCCTCTTGGTCGACGCGCGGAGGCTTCCGCGTGCCTGCCTCGTCACGGCGGCCAGGTCTCCGCGCGAGCAGATGCCGGATGGTGTCCAGAAGGGGCCTGGTGCCCGTGTGGATATAGGTCTCGAAGGGGTCCCTTGTCTGCCAGAGGCGTGAAGGCGGGGCGAGCGATCTCTCCTCTGCGCCGCACCCTTTCCTCTCTGGCGCTGCTCCTGCTCCTATTTCGATTCCGTGCCTTGGGCCTCGGGGTGGCAGGTGGCTGGAGGCTGCCCCTTCACCGCTCGAGCCGACCTTCGGTCCTTCGCCCGTGCGGTGCTGGGTGCTTTGCCCTCGCGTTTGCGAGGAGGGAGATGGTGGGGTGCCTTGCCCTAGCAAGCCTCATCTCATTTCCAGACCTCCTCCAATTTTGTTGAGTCTCGTTTGCTTCCCCCTCACCCCCGGGTGCGGCATGGTCAGCCTTCCTCCCCTCCTCGCCGTCGCCTCCCCTCCTCCTTCGCCGTCCTGCGTCGCTCCTCTGCCTGCTCTCTCTCGTGCTCGTCCCCAGATTGTCGCCTGGTCGTCGCCCTCCTCCCCTCCTCGCGGCTGTCGTTCCTTGTCGCTCGCTCTCCTCCCTCCCCCGACTCCGCGCTCGCCCTGGACCCGGGGTGTCGTTTCCTCCTTCGCCCCCTGCTGCCGTTGCTCTCCCGGGTCGCCCACCATGCTGGCATTTTGGTGGTGAGTGGGTGATGCATGAAGATATGCTTTCGCCACTCCGTGCCTGTCGTGTTTTGCAT